GCTGATAAAGACGCGATAAAGGCATTAGTTGATGTGAACCGGCGAATAACAACACGTGAGATCGGATTGAGGTTAAATTTATCAAATTCAACAGTTTATGACCACTTGAAAGGCCTGGGATTATCCTCGAAGCTCGATGTATGGGTTCCCCATGTTCTCACAGAGAGAAATCTGTGTCGCCGCATTGACGTCTGCGATTCGCTTCTCAAACGTCACGAAAATGATCCGTTTTTGAAGCGCATCATCACTGGGGACGAAAAATGGGTTGTATACAACAACGTCAAACGCAAGAGGTCATGGAGCAAAAAAGATGAACCGGCTCAAACCATTTCCAAAGCCGATATTCACCAAAAAAAGGTGATGCTGTCTGTTTGGTGGGATTTTAAAGGAATCGTTTTTTTTGAGCTTTTACCGGATAACACAACGATTAATTCGGAAGTCTACTGTCATCAGCTGGACAAACTGAATGATGCACTTCAACAGAAAAGGTCAGAACTAATCAACAGGAAAGGTGTAGTGTTTCACCAAGACAACGCGAGACCTCACACAAGTTTGGTCACTCGCCAAAAGCTTTTACAGCTTGAATGGGATACAATGCTACACCCACCATATTCTCCAGACCTGGCACCATCGGATTATTATTTGTTCCGGTCACTCCAAAATTTTTTAGACGGTAAAACCTTCACCTCAAATGAGGAGGTCAAAAACCTCCTCGATCAGTTTTTTGCCAGCAAAGACCAAAACTTTTATGAGCGTGGAATTATGCTACTACCAGAAAGATGGCAAAAGGTGTTGGACGAGAACGGTCAATATATAATTTAATAAAGTATCTGTTTATTATACGAAAACTGTCTTTCATTTCCACAAAAAGAAACGAAATGACTTTCCGAACAACCCTATAGCTGTCCAGACGCAAAAGAGAGCGCAATCGTAAGAATACGTCGTGCTTAAGTTTGTTTATTGATTAACTAATTAAGGGAGAAAAAAATTACGTGACAATGGCTGGCGTAGGGCGTTCATACTATTATATTATCTTGAAAGGGGTAAATAAGGAATAGCAGCAATGTATAATTTAAGTAAGTACCTATATAATTCAGTTTTAAAATCGGTAAAGAAATAACCAGTCTTCCATCAAAAACTTTAAAAGTTCTTGATGAGAGAGCGTGGATATTTCTTTTTCGATTTTAAAGGGTCTTCTCATCAGCCAAACCACTTAGGTCGAAACTTTCTTAACTTGAAGCTATTTTAATAAGAACTTTTCATCGTAAAAGAAAATAAAAATATCACAAACGGCGTATACCTAACGATGAATTTATAATGATGATAAATTCCTCGCGATCGAATATTAAACATCAAAACATCATTGCATCACTCACACATGTTAAATGCAGAAAGAACAAGTTGTTTGTTATGAAACTTGCTTGTGTTTTTAAGGGTTAGCTTAAAAGTGCACATGAATGAGTTATAATCCAACCAACAAAAGTTTAGATTACATTAACGTCTAATTTCCTTCGTTTCAAAGGCTACAAGTTTTGTTTTACATATTGAGAGTTTTCGCTGCCCTTAAACAACTTTTCCTACGATTACACTTCACCGATAAGATTGACGCATGATTCCCCAGTGTTCGTAAATTGGAAACATTATGTACACCACCACGGCCTTTATCGTACAAATCAGTAATAACAACGACTTACGACGTTTATATCGAGCCCGTTTTGTGAAAACACACTTCAGTCTTGAGGTCATTTTCGGGAGGGAAACGAATTAATTCGTTTTATTTACTGCGTCCTTCATATTTTTTTACTGCCTTCATAGCATAATCATGAACTCATTCACCCATGTAAACTTCACGTAAAAACAACAATTTACAAAAAATCTACACATTAAATATGGAGCTGGAGAATTGTCGAAGATGACGAAACACAAGGGGGAGGACGGGGGAAGTCTATGTTCAGTACTTTTATTTTAATGTTTTTCTTAACTAGATAGTTCTTAAATTGGGTGGTGGGCTATTGTGGCGTAATATTTCTGAGGGCGGTTGCTGAAAGTGTGACAGTGGGACAGCGTGACGAAGAGGGAGAGAGGGAAACAAAAAGACGAAATTCTGAGTGACGTATTTTTTGGACGACCCCTTACCTCACAAGGAATATATTGCAGTTACAATGAGACATATAATATCGGGTTGTTCGGAAAGTCATTTCGTTTTTTCCCGACAGAGGATTTAATTGTATTCTTTTGCACCCAACTTCACATTTAAGCCGTATAATTTTTATATGCTTTGAGAGCTCATATAGCAAGGCTTGTGTGTGAAAAATTCCAATTAATTCTACGCAGTAGTTTTTGGTTGGTGCCCTTTTAAATATGGAGAGCGATAAGCAGCATTTTCGACATATCTTACTGTTTTACTACAGAAAGGGTAAAAATGCTGTTCAAGCCAGAAAGAAATTGACTGATGTGTATGGAGAAGGTGTGTTGACAGTACGCCAGTGCCAGAACTGGTTCGCTAAATTTCGATCCGGCAATTTTGATATCGAAGATGCACCACGTTCGGGAAGGCCGGTTGAAGCTGATAAAGACGCGATAAAGGCATTAGTTGATGTGAACCGGCGAATAACAACACGTGAGATCGGATTGAGGTTAAATTTATCAAATTCAACAGTTTATGACCACTTGAAAGGCCTGGGATTATCCTCGAAGCTCGATGTATGGGTTCCCCATGTTCTCACAGAGAGAAATCTGTGTTGCCGCATTGACGTCTGCGATTCGCTCCTCAAACGTCACGAAAATGATCCGTTTTTGAAGCGCATCATCACTGGGGACGAAAAATGGGTTGTATACAACAACGTCAAACGCAAGAGGTCATGGAGCAAAAAAGATGAACCGGCTCAAACCATTTCCAAAGCCGATATTCACCAAAAAAAGGTGATGCTGTCTGTTTGGTGGGATTTTAAAGGAATCGTTTTTTTTGAGCTTTTACCGGATAACACAACGATTAATTCGGAAGTCTACTGTCATCAGCTGGACAAACTGAATGATGCACTTCAACAGAAAAGGTCAGAACTAATCAAGAGGAAAGGTGTAATGTTTCACCAAGACAACGCGAGACCTCACACAAGTTTGGTCACTCGCCAAAAGCTTTTACAGCTTGAATGGGACACAATCCTACACCCACCATATTCTCCAGACCTGGCACCATCGGATTATTAGTTGTTCCGGTCACTCGAAAATTTTTTAGACGGTAAAACCTTCACCTCAAATGAGGAGGTCAAAAACCTCCTCGATCAGTTTTTTGCCAGCAAAGACCAAAAATTTTATGAGCGTGGAATTATGCTACTACCAGAAAGATGGCAAAACGTGTTGGACCAGAACGGTCAATATATAATTTAATAAAGTATTTGTTTATTATACAAAAACTGTTTCATTTCCACAAAAAAAAAACGAAATGACTTTCCGAACAACCCTATATATAGAGCTTTTACAATAAAATTTAACGTAATTTTGCATTTATCCTTTCTGATCATTAAAATGTGACTTTTTTAAGTATTGAATACATTATATGTTGCAGGTATTTTTTAAAAAGGGGTAGCTCTATGAAGAAAAACTGACCAAAACAATATAAAGTCTTTGAGACCTTTTTTATCTACCTTTTTTTTTTTATCTAGTGAAGAATAGGACAAGGAAGAAATTGTGAAAGTCTCAAGGAAGGTTGTGTGAGTATAGTCAGCTGTTTTAAGTCCTTCGAGTTTATTAAATGCCTACTTTTTCCAAAAAGCTACAACATATGTTTTATAGGTGTGTCTACCGTTATTTATAGAGCGTCGGCCGCAGTAGACACGGGTAGTTTTGAATAGGGTTAAAACAACTATATATAACAAAGTAAAAGTTGTTTAGCTGTGGAAACGATTTACTTACAAGCGGTTGATAATATTAAAGGAGTAGTAAAAATCCCGTTAATGGTGCTAACAAGATGTTTTCAAGAAGTTTCCCGCTTGGACGAATTTACGTAAGCTCAAAAGCTCAAGATTCATAGCTCTGAAGGGATACGGCATCTCTAAATTGCAACATTGTCACTTAATGCCGGATAAACATCACGAATTCAAACCTCCGTTACAACGAAACGTGGTGACGAAGACGACGCCAAGTTGGCGTCGTTTGCTTGCCGTCGCGTTCTGAGATTTCCGTTCCGAATCAAGACGGCCCAGTTTTACCTCTCGCTTCCCCAATGATTAACGTCAGTCGCCCTTTTTTTATCTTCAACTGAAATTAAATTTTCCAAATAAAAATAACCATTAATTAAATTTCATAATTACGAAAATAACGCTGTTTATTTTCTCTAGAAGCCGGAACAAATGGCAAGTTAGTACGGCTGCAATATGATACCTTTTGTCTTTATTTAGGTAAATTTCGTACTTTCGTTTTTGGGTTTGGGTCGAAACGTAACGAAAAAGCCTTATTTGAAAACAAAATACAGTTGGCATTTACTTGTTGACAGTTGATGATACAATTTGCTTAAATAATTAACAATTTGTAGACATTTTTTTCGCTACACTGTAGCTTTATCAAGTTTTCTTTTGTACTACTGTAAAACTGAACCAAACTTTTACTGATGTCTAGGAAAACCTTCTATTTTTGAATAAAAAATTTCCAAAGCATTTTTTTCGTGTTTTATGGGAAAGAGTATGAGAAGATACAGAACGTCTTCTATTGCATTTAAAAATCCGAGAACCAAACGTTGTATTTTAAGAAGTTTTATTAGTTTATTAACTTCGCCTGTCTGAACTTTGTGTCATCTAAATTTTTTAAAGAAGTTTTTAACGATCTGGGTACAAAATAAAGATAGTTAAGGCCAGCATTGAAAGAAATTTATGGAGTTCTAAAACGAAAAACTAATCTTAAGTCTTTGTAAGTCATTTTTCGTTTGAAAATCAAGAGTTTCTAAGATGTAAAGGTCTTTTGCGAACAGTTACATTTCGCGGTTGAAATAACTTGAATTAACTTACCCAATTCTGGACCACAAACTCGAGGAATAATTTCCAGGATAGCCGAACAAGATGGATCCTCAAAGCAGAGTTGTCGCGCTAGTAGACAGTTTAGGATAGCGATCGTGGTTTTTATGTTGGGACCTGGAAAATACATTAGAGACATATGAATTGTAAACAGCCAAATCTACATTAAGATAGAGATGGAGTCGAACGAAGGTAGGTTGACATCGATTATATGCACAAGAAGCATTTAATGATGCGTTAAATTGAAGTGCTCGTTAAAATTGCGCCTTCACTGCGGATTGCCTCGATTTTCATAATAACGCTTTAGACAAAATTGAACATCATTTATTTGCAAATCACCCCTTTACGCGCTTTTACCCAAATTTTGTTTTACTCGAATCGGTTACTAAAAAAGAAATACAGAATTGCCATTTTCTTACATCAGCCGAATGAAAATATTTCATGCCTAATACTAAATGAGGTCACATTTTTGGTTTTATTATACATATAATAAAAGCTCTTTTTTATTTAGATAGTAGGGTAAGAATGAGTTACAAATGGTCATTTAATGTATGCTATTCTTTTATCACACAGCGCCTATAAATAGCTAATAACTATTTCCATGTTCGTGGATTCGTTTATTAAAGTGTCCGCCCGTTTGTCCAATGTACAATGTACCTGCATCTCATTGCAGCCTCTACATATTGCCTGACAGAATCGAGATTTTAAGGCGTTATCAGTTTTATATTTGCTTTAATTTCACAAAATTTGACTATATTATTTCTAATTGTCTACGACCTAACCTGCATTTTTCAGAATTTATTATCTAATTTCGTTTGTTAGGCAAGTTATGTGTCACGAGTAGGTTCCTCCGACAATATTATAGCTAACAAATTTTAAAAGGAGTCAGCTTGGAATTTATTGCGTCTGTAATATATTCCTCATTCTAGAACCACGCTTAGACACTTTGTCAAAACTTAATTTTGACTAGATAGCAAATTTAAAGCAGTTGTCTTTCTTCCACTAGATAAATGAAATGTCATCAGACGAAATTACAGTAATTTATTTTAATCAGCCACAGTATGTAGGTATGCATTACAAAGTAAGCTCTGATCTAAACGGAATGTTCTCAAACTCGAAGTATTCCGTTTTGCATAACAATTTTGTCACAGCAAACGTTTAATAAGTATACAATGTTTCTTTCCAATGATATTTTTTAAAGACCTACAATACATCAGAATATCAAAAAACAAATAATATTAATACAATATGTGTAAATATTGTAAGTAAAGCAAAGAAAATTGATTAAAGAAACTATAAGTTTTTGAAATTGTTATACTTAACATTAAGATCGGTATTTCTTACTCAATTTCTTTGGTAAAAATGAGGCCGATCGTTATTTTAAGTGATTCTAGTTTGTGCTACGACATGGAACTACATTTTTTCCCGCAAAGTTATTATAAACATGTTTTACAAGTATACGTACGTTCTGAAATGAATACTTAGAAAACAATGGAATTTAAGTTCTCCACGTTCTATTCAAAACGGCGTTCTCTAGCAATGAAATTCTCGAATGTTTCGCGTACCCACCCAACTCTCAAGCTACTTAATTTATAATAGAATGGCAACGCGTTTTATTCAGGTAAAGTTTAGTAGAGAATGTTTACCGAATAAACCACTAAAATTCGAAACAAAACCAGATGTATCAGCCTGCTGTTTCCCATTAATTTTTCGTATTTCCAATACGTACGTTTCGACGAACAAAAGCAACTAAAAAACGTTATAAGCTCCCGGATAATTTTTAACAAATGTTATTAATAACGCCTCACAGCCTCATTACAGCAGACAATACCTTTAAATTCAATCTAGCATAACCTAAACTAATCTCTCTTTAAAAATGGATTATTGAAATCAATAATATTTTTTCAAAATATATATGGATAGGAAAGAGTGGAGGTGCGTGTCCAACCAGTCTTAGGACTGACGACCTTGTGATGATTATTAATATTTACGTAATGACACAAATGATGAAAAATCCATATATAAGAAACATTGTTGATTTACGCTTATGATGGCTACCTGTACCTTCGAAACTCAGGCTAACACTGTAAATTACACGGCAAACAAGGGCAAAAAGTGAAAGCCGGAAAGGAAAGAAAAGTAAAAAAACGTAGTGGAAACTCTTTTTAATTTAGTCAAGTATCTCCGACAAAGATTGAAGAAGATGAAGTTGCACACAAGGCAAAATTTAGAGGAGGAATCTTGAAAAGATAAAATCAGTATTGAGTTAGGCAGAATGAAAATGTATGCAGGTCATGTGAACAAAAAGGGATAACTTTATAGGTACCTACCCTAATAATAAGATGCAACGTGGAATTAAGGATCACAGAGGATAATACTAACACTTCAGGAGAAGGGGAGATATAAAATACACAGGAATCGATAGAAAAAAAAAATAATACAATCCTTGTAATCTTTAGTCGAAATATAAAATTGTAAATTAACTTAATATTATTACACGTAAAATAACATCCAATTTAATGAGTTTCGGGGATTACAGTGTGACTTTTCCATTTTAAAACCATCAAAAATCACGCCCTCTTAATATTTTTTTCAACGACGAACTTGAAAGTAGTTAAGGTTTCCAAGATTCAATGGGGATTACTCGTAACAATTTTTGAAGCAGAAATGTCAAAGACCTCTGTTAACTTCTATGTACGTATAAAATCCATCGGCCGTGACCCCAATTAGCAATATGTAAAGAAAAAGGCAAGAAAATTAATTAATGCCCGCAGATGGCACTTCAAATCACTAAATGAAATTGGTAGATAACAGCAAAAACAATACGAAGTGATTTCAGATTCTATTTCAAAAATCATTACCATACGAAAGAGCTATTAGGCATTAACAATAAGACTAATAAATAAACCCTGAGGTTGTTTCGCGTGATCAAGAGCGAAACGTTAGCAGCAGATTACTCCGAATCCTAAAAACTTCAGATGATTGAGAACAGCTGCAAGCGTCAAGTGACGGAACACTAATACCTGCGCGTGACCTTCGCAACAGCTGGTACACAGACAGGTGACTCTCAGTGCCAACTGCTATTGCTATTACGATTGGTGCAAATTGTCTACTGTAATAATAATTTTAAGAAGGCGATAGTACGTATTTTCAATGAGTAGCGTTAAAGGAAAAAGGCCGACGCTTTAAATTAAAAGCCACTTTGATTTATAGCAAATCTTGTTTCGTAGAAGAGCACATGCCGCCCTTTAAACCTTTTATATATCGTCTGCAATCAATAGTGCAGGATGGCATGATAAACAACCTCTAACGTCTTTCTCTCTAAATGAGAGAAAGGAACTCTGATAAGTAATGGGTTTTCTCGTTTTCTGGATTAATTCCATTGTACAGCAATACTCAAACGATTCTCACTTATTACGGAAAACAAGGTTAAGAGGTGAAAAGTGAATGATTAAAATTCATCTTACAAAAACGACTATTCCACTGCTACACGTTTGTTAAATGTATTGTAACTTCTGAAAATAGTAATAAATCAGCGTAAACTAACGAGAAAGCACTGTTTTTTGTAGTATATACTAATTCTTCAGGCAAGTAAAAGTGGATATAGAAAGTTACTAAAAATAAAATAGATCTTTCTAATACGACTCGAGATGGACAAAGTCAGCATTGTCATTTCTATCATCAGTCACTGTCTTCGGACACGAGAACACAAAAACTTTCTTGGCTTCTTTCTTTCGCATCAGTTATTCCTTAAAAATTCTTCCAAAGACTGTAATTTTATATCTATACCTAAATCCTGAATTCACAAATTAAGATACTCTTTAGCATTAGCATCACATAGAATAAATAACGTAAAGGTTAATTTAAACTTAAAAAAGCGTTCATTCAATTTCGACAATATAAAAGAGGTTATCATCAGTAATTAATGGCTCTAGGTATGTGAAAAAGTGCGTAGAATCTAATGGTGGCAACAGTTTTCGAATGCGGCTTCAAAAAAATGCAGCCCGGCACTGCTGTGAGTCAAAATAACTAAAATAAGCTTCAAAAAGCGCCCGTTAAATATCTAAGAGTTAAAAAGGAAATCCTAAGTTATTAATGCTTATAGGTGTGTAATAAATTGCGTAGGATCTAATGGCGGAAACAGTTTTTGAGTGCGACTTCAAACAAATGCAGTCCGGCACTGCTTAGAGCCAAGATAAAGAAACTAATTTAGACTTGAAAAAGCGCTCGTTAAATATCTAAGAGTTAAAAAGGATATCGTAAGTTATGAATGCCTATATGTATGTAAAAAAGTGCGTAGAATCTAATGGTGGCAACAGTTCTCAAGTGCGGCTTCAAAAACATGCAGTCCGGCACAGCTGCGAGCCAAAATATTCAATATCCACCATTCGTAGCAGGAAAACGGTAGGACTTATCGGAAAAATTCTTTCACAGACGGATGGCCCCGCTCAGTGCGAACATTATAGGACGTGTGCGGTCGAAATCCGTGCCGATCAAAAATTCAAAATTTTGAAAATTTTTAATATTTTATTTTTGTTAGAAATTGTTTTTTCCTGTTCGCGACGATGCGGGCCATCCGCTGGTGCAAGAAGTTTTGCGATATCTCTAATTGTTCGCCAGATATGTTCTCCTAAACATTTAATTCTCGATTTCAAAAATAACACTAGGCCAAATCTTTCGACAGCTGTAACTTTTAAACGAAATCTCGTAGGTGGGCGCTTTTGCTATCCACCTAGAGCACAGGATCTCTGGAAAATTTTAATAACACTGCCATCGATATCGGACCACTCAGTCCGAAAATATACGCCATCCTATGGACTCAGAAAAACGCTAAAAATAACAATAGAGTAAATTGCGTGAGTTTCGTCGGCTCTGGCGCAGACCAGGAATGTGGTAGTTCCAAACTGTTTTCGCCAAAAACTTCCCACACTTATTGGGCTTCGAACGAGCCATGTTCGGTATGTGAGAGACGTCAGGCTGCGGAGCTATGAATTTTCAAACGCGGCAATGTCCGTGAGCGCAATATTTTCAAAATTGACCTTTCGAAGTTCGTATCAGGAAAGCGGTACTCCTTTTTAACTGTTAGATATTTAAGGAGCGGTTTTTCAAGTTTAAAT